CCCCACCTGCCACCCCTCAAAAAGAATGGACTCACCCCACCTGTCACCCCTTCCGATTGAATGGACTCTCCCCACCTGCCACCCCTCAAAGAGAATGGACTTGCCCCACCTGTCACCCCTCCCTCAGATCGAATGGACTTGCTCTACCTGTCACTCCTCAAATCGAATGGACTCGACCCACCTGTCACCGTTCAAAAAGGAATTGTCTGAACTGTTACCCACCTCAATTCAGTCACACAAACCACACTCATATCAAATTATAAAATAAAGTCATTCTTGTGTGATTATTTATTTATTTAGGACATCTTTTGCGACAGAAAATCATGGTGAAGAAATAAAATAAAATATATGCACACTTAGATTGGCATAGACTTTAATCAAATAATGTGATTATATAGGTCAAGGCCGTTTAGACAGAGGTACCTGCTCGTGACTGACAGCTACGAAATCTTGAATTTTACATACTTGTTACTCAGAAGAGAGGTATTTAAACTTTGTTTAACATATTTTAAAGTGTGTTGGGCTCATTTAAGAACGCCTTTGGATCTGGTGGAACGTGGACAGAAAATTTGGTATTTGAGGTTGACACATCTGCGTCGCTTACGTTGACATGTTGACATGATGTTGATATTACGTTGACTATGACGATGAAACAGGTGGCTTGTGACTACTCCACTTTGGAGCTCTTGTGTCAAAGGCTAAATTGTGCTGTGTGCTTGTGCAATATAGTGTGCATGTGCCAGTGCGCGCGCGCGCGTGTGTGTACATTTGCCTGATTCAGAAGTGTATTTAAGTTATAATAATTTTGCTGAGATTCATTTCTTACATTTATTTGCATAGATGAATGCCTTTAAATTAGTACAGTGATGATTGGGTAATTTATCACGCCACATCGCAAATGACTTCATATAATAGAACAATTTTATTCAAACCATGCATCTCAGTTTTGCACCGTTGATAGATAGGCCCCTATATGGCGGTGTGTCGATCCGCTAGGAAACGTAGTCCTTTCTCCATTACTTTGTACAGGTGACTCCCCCCCCTTCTTCGATTTCTGAAAAAAATCACACCAATGATTCCCTCCTGATATTACAATTTTAACAAACTGAATCATAGTTCTTAACAGTATCCAATAACACCGTTCGCCCCAAAAAATACCAAAAAATACCAAGGGGGGGGGGGTCGATTTCCCATCTAAAAATCTATTTTCTATTCGCGGTATCTTGTTCTGAGTGTGTAAATGGAGTTAGTAATAATTATAGTTATTCTACCAATATTACTAGTTCTTTACAATATTTCTTGATTGCAGAAAGATTCATTAATTATTAGTATTATTTTTATTTATTTATTATTTTTTTTATTATTATTATTATTTTTTTTGCAGTTGCACAATCAGTGATGGGTTCCAACAAGTTGTGCATGGAAATGTGGAGACCATGATGAAACAGGTGGCTTATGACTTTGAGAAGGGCTATGATTTGGCACATGCAACTGTTGAACACCAGGCTATGACACAGATTGAAGAAATGGTTGCCTAGGAAAATTTGGTTGTCAAGGAAGATACGGTTGCCATGGGAGATGTGGACAGCAAGAAAGGGGTATTTATTAGTTCTATTTTGTATGTGCCTGTACAGATATCATGGATTGCCTTTGAGACATACATGTATTGCCTTCTTGTAATTAAAAACAGACACTTGTATCATTTTTGTAATGTTTATCAATATATTTGGCTTGACTTATAAGCACATATTCATATACTAAGAACACAAAAAAAAGACATTATGCTGATATTGAGGTATTATTGTGCAACATCAAACCACTGCCATAATAAATATCTCGGTCTGTGGAATATTTTGACTATATTTACCAGTCAGCAGAATCAATTATTGGATGATTTTCAATATTTCAGAAAACACCCAGCTACAACAGGACTCCCAACTCCAGTGCACTGTCCACTAGTAGCATCATACTCCAGATGCCAGAAGTCTCTAGGGAAAATAACAACTACATTGCTTTTGAGTTCTTCAGATATGCTCCTCCCCCTAACAACGCTAGGCTAAACTCAAAGATTCATAAGGAAATGCAAGCAGAGAATCCAAAATCCCATGCTGGGAAGATTTCCAGCTTCAGAAATGCAGATGTTTCATCTTTTTACAGTCTCATTGCTCACTTCAACCCATGTTTTCTTATTTCAGGTAATCATGTACATATATAAAATAGTTCACCGTTATATAATGCTGTAGAAATGTCTATCTGATGATGTTTTTTTAATCCTTTTTGATGGTGTAAAACAGATGTAACATCCTTTTGATTTTTAGGTTCTTAATTTTTGTTCAACAGTAGAAAAATATGGCTTAAACAAATAATTTTTACATTTCCCTTTTATGATGCAAATTTAGACAACAGCCAGACAAAAGACAATGATGAGCTACCAAAGCAGGCATCTGAACATGTGGCAGTTGATGTAGAGAAAGGTAATTGTCAGGTGTAAAAAAATATTGTAGCACCAACAGTTGGCATTTTGTGAACAGTTCAAGACCCAAGACCCTTTCAAGATTTTCAAATTGGAACAAATGTCTGATACATCAGTTTTTCATATCTTTATATTCTTTAATTAATTTTGCAATGGTTCATTTAGCCAAACTTCCAAACTTCAAATCATTTATTCAAGTTTATATAATGTTTTGAAACATTGAGCTAAAGAAGGAACTCCACAGCTTGCCAGTGCACCAGATACTGTAGCAATATTAACTAAAAGTATTTAAAATAATTAAAATATTTGGGAAGGTAATTGTCCATTCTGGTATCAAGTCTGTCATTTCAGTTAATTATTAAAAAAAAAAGAATAAATGTGTAAAAAAAAGGATAATGCAATTTCATGTACATGTAACCCATCAGCTTACATTTTGAAGATACATATAATTAGAACATTGATTTCAACATAAGCTTCCTTGCCTTTATTAAAATTAAATTATGGTGTTAAGCAGGGGTAATATTACCCTGCTTCAATTTTTAGTAAAACTTCCACATACTTTTGGCAATAATTCATTTCCACACAATCTGTTCCAGAACCATCAGATGAGGTGCCATACACTGAACTGAAGTCACTGGAAATGATTGGCAACAGAAACCATGGCGGAAAGTTGCCCCGCTTTTTGATCTATCCAGCATTTATTTTGCTGGGTGTCTCCATGGCTGGGGCAGTATTTCTCACCATTGTGTATGGCAGAGAACTGAGTGATAGCGCTGTGTACAACTGGGCTGCTCTGGTAGGAGTGGCACTGGTGGAGGACTTGTTTGTGTTCCAGACACTGAAGGCAGTTTGTGTGTATGGCCACTGCCTACTTTTCTCAGCAAATGAGGCTGGAGAGGATGCTCACAGGCAGGAGAAGACAGCTTGTTAAGTTTTAAAAAAACTCAGTGCTCTGGTGCCAGTGGAACCTTTCACTAAGTGATGAAATTCCAGAAATAGTGCAAGGACAGACTCATGGAGGCCTCATACCCCTATTGCAGAACTATACCATGTTTATGATTTAAAGAAATAATATAAAAATTATTAAAATATTTTGTGTTGAACTTTGTCCTTTTAAATTTCTTATGGATCAGAGGTGTTTTTATATAACCAAATACACTGCCTTAGTATTTAATACATTGCTACAGTGCAAAAAATGTGACCAGAATCTCATAAAGTATCTTTTTTAAATAAATGCTGCCATTAATGATCTCATTCACTTTTAAATAGACATTTTTTAAAATAACTTCACTGATCTGTGACAATAAAATCTACCTTGAGTATTTTCTGAATTTTCTTTTTCTTTTACTGACCCTTTTGTTCAAGTTTTTAAATATTGAATACCAGTTTGTAAAAGAAGACAAAGTTTCATGGATAATCATGGCAAATTATGCTTGTTTAGGCTTAAAATATATTGAATTTGATAAAAACTAATTTTTCATTAAAAAATGCTATTAAAATCCTGGATAAAACCAGTTGGTTAAACAATTTTATAAACAGACTGAAATTCTATGCTTTTTCCCTTATTATGTTGTGTCAACTTCAACTGAAACATTCATTCAAAAAGTCCTATCCTAACATTTCTTCATCAGATTTTATATTTCATACAGTATCATCAAAATTCATTCCCATCTGTTGCCCTTTGTAAGGTGTCTGCATTTTTTATTACAACAATACAATTTCTAGTCTTTTACAGTACTTTATTGCATTTTATTGGGGGGGGGGGGGTCGTGGGGTTCGAAAGAACCACCCCTTTTGGTGGGAATAGGTCCACTCTGGGTAAAATTTGATGTAGGTTCATGAAGTTTTTATGGAAAAAAGGTCCACTTTTTCAGAAAAAGAACCCCCCTTTTGAAATTGCTGGCTACGGGCCTGACTACATTAATTCATGCCTTCCTCAACTTATAATTTCCTCTATTTCTGTCCTACTCAGATCTATTCGGGTAAATGGATACAGCTCATGACGTTGTATTTCATTACTGAATATCTTCATTTGTGATTGTGCGTTAGGGGTGGGGTGGGGTAATTTTCTTTTCTCATGGGGCGGGGCCGGTTGCTCTGTCATATAACATAGGCTAAAGTTGAAATCGAGGCACCTGTACAGAAGGTGGTCTAGAATATATTATTATGTAATCTAGGTGAGTATTTTGGTGAGAGGTGTTCAGAAAGGACCGAGGTCAGTAGAAAATGGAGGAGAAAGCCTTGTGTCTCATTGCCACAATTTTCACGAAATGGTCGGAAATCTGGGACTGAAATTGCCATCGATCTGTTGTAAGTACTGTATAGATGATGGAAGATAACATTGGTTATTTGGCGTTAACGATATTAACCAAAAAATGGTGCAATTTGCAAATAAGGCATCATGTCGACATTTTTTCTTGACGTCAACAATATTTTCCCCTTAAAAATCCAAATTCAACTTGTTTATTCAAATTGTAAATAGTTTATTTTCTGTTAATATTTTCAGATGGAATGCATTTGCCAGAAAACGGGTGGTGAGAGATTTGCCCCAGCAGTGAACGCGTCTTCCGTCTTAATTAATGTAAGGAGATCTTGGCAGGTAACTTCATTCTTAAGTCCTAATTTGTTTTTAAAAAAAATGAAAATCCACCTCAGCAAATCCCTACCCGCCAATGTGCACATGTCGTGACTATGTTGTTCTACTTTCTAATATCTCATAAATGTTGTTTTTATTACCCTCCTGTCATGTATTTATTTGTAAAATTTCACTTTATACGTAATGCGAGGGTCACTATCTTTTTAGTAGCACCACTGACGTGTAATTCTAAAGACACAGAATGTTGTCACGTTACAGTGTGTACACGGTGTAAAAGAATAGAAATTATATTGTTTGAAAGTACATGATTACATAGAACGTGTCAGCTCAGTATATATATATATATATTCCTCTAATTTAAAAGTTGAAAAGTGGTTTGTTGAATATTACTATAAGAATCGAAATCGGTTGCCGTAAAATTAAAACTTGCTTTATTTAATCAACCCTTATACATTGATTTGTAAAGGTGGTTTTTGTTTAATTTCAGTGACTCAACCGTGCACGAGAAGATTGAATACGTTCTCCATCAATGACGTCAGACTCGTGTTCCACAGCGGCTGCATCCATGTCAAGATTACATGTCGCTTGTCAGAGTTTGCCTGCTAGTAAATTTGCAGGGTTGAAACTTAATATGAAGTGTAATGTTTGGTTTGGGTTGTGAATCGGCTGTAGTTATTTTAAAACTATTTCAAAGTAGTGTTCAGGAAGAGTACTTTGCTACACGTACATGTAGTAGTGGTTTATTTCCGTGTAGGTGTTGCAACGTAAACAACAATGCACATGTAGGACGACCGGTTTTCTTTTTGATGGTAACATATTTGTGAGGACAAATCTGCAATTTGGCAGTTCTCCGTGAACAATTATTTATTTAAAATTGAATTCTAGTATTTATTTTGGTGATGTTTAGTTTTGGAAAGAAAGAAAACATTCCAACCGTGTAAAATGCATTTTTGGAAGTCTTTGGAAGTTATTGTTATATTGTCAAGTCGTCAAGTTATATTGTCAAGTACGCGCCATATTTGATCCACGGACTAGATAGACGGTGGTTCAACTGGTTGTGAACTCGGTCTAATGCTTTAGAAAGCGTCTGGAAGTTGCAGTGTGTGTTCAGTTGCTCTTCGGAAGAAAAAAAGAGCGAGATGTGCATCCACCAAAAATCAATAATACGCTGTAATTTGAATAATTATGCTTCAGAAATTGCAGCATTATCAAACTGGCAGAATGTGTCATTAGTATTGCAGAACTGTCTTGAAACGATCTTTCTTATTTAAGTTTGAATATGCGATTGTGACGCATATAAAATAAACTTCGTGTTTCAATGAGGGGAGGGGTCAAAATTCACCCTGGTTTTAGAAACGAAACCAAGGAGTTGAAAATTTCCCGAAATTAATGTGCATTTGTTATTGCACCAGTGGTAGGTTACAAAGGAAAATCGTTGTGTTACAGAAAATATTTTATTTCGGAATATTTTCTACATTAAGGGGTCTATATAGGACTGACATTAATCAGAAACTTTAACATTCTGAATTTTCGAAAAATTCTTGACAAAGTCAAATCAATCATTTTAGCTGTCACAAAGCCGATTTTTTAGAATGAGTACTCGATGAAGTTTTTAAGACTGTCAATTTCTGTCAATACTTCCAAAATAGAATTTGATGCAATTTAAAGCGAATTTTATAGCAAGGGGTGAAAAACTAAAGAAACATTTTTCGTAAATTTACTGAGATTTTGGCTAGCAGTTATTTAGCCAATTCTTTGAAAATTCTTTAAACAAATATGAATAATTGCCATTCTCTCAGTATAAAAAAATATCCAAAAGTGTTTAGATCAGCGCTCTGTTAAAGGTTGGCATTGTACTCAGTATTTTTATAGTTTATTCTTTGGTCGAGTTTAAAGGGTGATTAAAGATAACTTCTCATATGTTAGTCCTGCATGTCCTGTTGAATTATACTGCTGAGTGTCGCTAGATCACTTAATACTGGAGACCAGTCTTAGGTTTATTAGCATTGTCTTAGTAAGTGTGTATTTCAAGTAAACTGATATTTACGTATTCTTTTCCGTTTTCTTTGAAATGGCTATGGTTGAAATAAGCTTGTAATTTGGACACGTCATATGACGTTTCTGATTCGCATGCTGTATAAATTTCAGTTTTCGCTCAAAGTTGTGCCATGAGGTACATATTTTAGGAATTAAGAAAACACGTTGATTTTGGACATGACAATATTTATCGATGAACTAAACAACCAGGAATCTTACATAATTTGATTATATTTGAACACCAATTTTCGTTTTATGTGCGAGTATCAGCAAGACGACATAGTGCTTGCATGTGGGTACATGTGTCGTGATAGGATGAGGTTATATGCATATTGAATTTTCTTTACCATTCACACCAGTGAATTTAGACAAACGTTATTATAATTTTTTGTATTTGGATAATTTTCCAAAAATGCATAGAATCTCGTTATGTTGCACACTAGTTAGCTAGATAATCATTTTTGTTTGTATGTAAAAGCTTAATTCAAATTTCATAGTACGTTTTATGAAATTGCCATTATTGTAGAAAAAATATATTTTAAGTTTTGTAATATTTTGTGAAAACAACGCTGTTACTTTTTGTATTCATTTATGCAATAATAAATGTGCAATATTGTTTTATGAACTAAATAGAAGTTATTTTTCTTAACTACAGAACCACTGACTCCTCTTACTATACAGTGTTCGTAGCACTGTTTTGTAGAAGTCGAAATTCTTTATTTGGATTTATTTTAGTAAAAGGTAATTTGGTGGGACCCAGTGGCGCCAGGAATCGAACCTGCAACCTTCTGTCTGAGAGGCAAGCGCGTTACCTACTCCTCTAACTGTTCCCACCCACTCTCCCCAGGTAGACTTTCTTCTTATAGTAACCAAAGAAAATTTTTAAAAAGACTTTTGGAATTACTCGGTTGTATCCAAGTGCGCGAGCAGTAAAGTAAACCCCAACCCGTGGGTACCAATGAACATGAAAATACAACAACGCATTGCATAATTTTGGTATTTCTTTATTAAGACCAAAACAAATTTCCATTCCATATATGCATGCATAAATATACATCTTAAAATACCATCTTAAAACATCAGTTTGTGCGACTACAATTGTGATTTTTTTTAAGTTTTGAAGGTTTGAATATAATGGTATCAACCAAGTTATTGAGATCCTCATTAGAATTCACTAAAAATGTAACAAATTCAATCTATTTGATTTTACAAATAAAACTATCAACTAAACTTTTTATGTTTGATCTTATGTTTGATATTAAAGAAAATATTTCGGAAAAGACTTTTTCCTTTAAAAACAACGCCGTATCTGGTATCCATCCCACCTTTAACATCAGAAAAAATCGAAAAGGAAACCCACACTGGACTAACATTATCAAGTACACATAATGCTACAAATTCCCTAGAATTTCACATTTTGACTACATTTAAATGTTCCAGATCCGACGTTGATTTTTTTCTGTTTCTAACCATACGATATTATAAGAATTATTTCAATAACTAAATACCTAAAATCATGAGCAATTCTATAACTCTTGTGACAAATGTTTTGCAAGGAACTGAACAAAAATTAATCTCACATAGCACATGTAAAGAGAAAACATTTTTGCACCTACCGATCGATCTAATAAAAAAAAGTAAGTTTTTCAAAGTTGAGCAGATTTTGAAAAATAGCATCAATAATTCTTTCGTCTTTACACAGAATCTAGATTTGTTTAAGAGACATCATCGTCCAGTTATATTTTACGAAAGTCATAGTGTACATACTACGAACCTAGACATCAGAAAATTGGATCATTAACAAAAACAAGCTTATGAAATTAAGTTTTCTAATCTTTTCTCTGAGCGTTTAAAGTAAAGCAAAGGCACATAGTCCCATATGAAGCTAACATTTAATTTTCCTAGAAATTTCAACAATATATCACCAAGGCATACAATAATCAGAACAGTTAATAGCGATTCGACCCATAAAGTCATTAAATTGAAAAAATAATAATAAATTAGCAATAAGTCACCAAGGTACACGGTATCCAGAACAGTTCAAAGCAATAAAGCATAAAGTCATTTAATTTTCGTAGAAATTTTAACAACAAATCATCAAAGTACAAGGTATACAGTATGTTATTTTCTAGGTAAAGGTGTAACGCGCACCATATGCCTTTGAATTGAAATTAAAACCCATGTTTTTGAAGAGAGTGATATTATTTTATATGCTGAACTCAAAGTAATTAAGAACAAGAAATGAAAACCCATGTTTTTGAAGAGAGTGATATTATTTTATATGCTGAACTCAAAGTAATTAAGAACAAGAAATGAAAAATTGACACCAGCAAAAAATATTATTTAGTGTAATATTCCCAATTTGTCATTAATTTTTATTGGATAAAAGAACACATTTTAAAAAGTATAGCTCACAAGACATTAGCAAAAGCAATATTATTCGATGTAATATTACCAATATGTAATAAATTTAAACTGGACAAATCAGAGAAGAATATTATCAGCTGTTTTATCTTCTAAGAATGAAGTAACTTTCTTCAATCAACAACTTAATATTGAAATCAGAGAATGAGGCTATCCAGGTGAGTAATGATGAATGTTCTATTAGATATCAAAATATTGGAGGTAAAGGTAAACTATTTCAATATTAAGCTGCTGATTGAAGAAAAATTACTTCACTCTTTACTGGATAGAGGAATATATTTTCTTAAAGATATTTGCAAACAAGTTTTATAACTACCTATTTTCCTGCATATACTATCTCTCTCCTTCTCAAAAAGAATGAGAAAAATACACACAAAACGTTTACTCCTACGACTATATCTACTAACGAAGTTCAATTAACATGAAGAGCATATGAGATATGAATAGCTGGCGAAAATGTGGAGGAAGCAAAATGGGGAAAATATTGGGGTATTTCCAAAACTAAGCATTCAGGCATCAAAAATGAATCACAAATAAGTTATCATCAAATACCTAATATAAATATCTTAAAACGTTGTACTAAATCGGTTGAAACTGATATATTCGTATACTTAGTATCTGGACCGCCACGCATCCACTCCCTGGTCACTCAGAACTGATGAAGACGTGACATCTCTTTCTGGAGTGTTGGTTACATATGATTCATGGGGGAGGAGGCAGGATATTTTGGACACATTGTTTACTCAATTATCATCATTATCTGTTAGGTGAACCTTCATTGACAATTTACTGCAATAAAAACTCAAAGGATGTATTTGTGTTTGATATATTTCAAAACACGCCATTGATAAAATTAAACCCATACCCTAACACCCCCCACAATGAAACATTTACGTCACTGGTTATGATCAAATGCACGTTTTTATCTGAACAGAGTTTAGTATGTAGGGAGGTCAGGTCAACTTTGATAGTAACATAAATATCAGCCAAAATGGTCTCATCTGATAGAGCAATTCATGAGCTTTCCAAAACATTTTATTTTTTGAAAATCAAGCAAGCCAATCAAAAGTTATTAAATTTAAAAGAATGCTAGTCGGCCACAAAATTTTGAAAAAGTCTTGTATGCAAGCATATGTAACAGTGGAAACCAAAAGTGTCACCTAATTTCCCAATCAATTAAACAAAATTGCCATAACTTTTGAATGGAGTAAAATATCCATTTGAAATTTTCTGGAAAGTTACACTATGCCAAGAAGAATCTGACAAGATACAATTTTCTGTAATTTATCCATTATTTCCATGGCAACCATTGTTAAATATCAATAGCGATCGATACTATTTTTTTTTATTTTTCAACCTAAGGCTTCAGCATCACTGCCCAAAGGCTACTTTTGGATGAAAATGATGCTAATTAATGTGCCATCACTAAAATAAAAAATAATAGCTTCTAATGTATCTGTTGCTATGGAAATCGTCATTATGATAGCTGTTGCTATGGTAACAGTTTGAATAATTTTTTACACATTATCATGAATTTCTAAACTGAATATGAAGTGGGAAACACTCTTGGTACTCAGTTTATGAATTTAAGTTAAATAGTAAACAAATACTCTGTTACTGTTGCCATGGCAACCAATATTACAATGACAATTGCATATACGATTTTAAGGTTTAACTAGTAAAAAATGCC